ATTCGATTCGCTGGTTATCAGATCAGATGAACAAAAAAGATTTTAAGTTTATTTCGTGACCTTTGCAAGAAGGAAGTTACAAGAAGAAGGCAAATCCTCGCGATCCATCCCTTATAGGACCCCTGTTATTCCACTTGGTAAAACTTACGCAATAAAGTTTATACGTTCATAAGATGTGACTTTAAATTACACATGAAGCTTCGTAAAAACGGAACAACCAGAGAAGAAAGGAGATTAAGTATTTACCTGGGGAACATCACCGCTCTGAAAATTCTAAAGCCCCGCAGGCTACATCGAACGCACCCTCTATCTCTCGTTGCATACAGTTTTACGAGAGTAATCGATTTGTGCTTGGTTTTGCTTCCAAGATCTTTTCCCATGCACTTTTACCGTGAGATGCGAGTTTAACGAAGTTTCCTGCCACGTAGCTCATACAAATGGGAGACAAAATTATTTCTTCCGTTTTAACATTACATCGAATTCTACATTAATATGATTAATGTGATACACATACTTTTTATAAAGATAAGGCTTGAGAGAATTAATGTAATTATGAACTGAGTATAGAAAAGGATAAAATAATATCGGATGGCATAGAACAGCATAGAACAACAATTATTGCGTTATTGACAGGGATCTTTAGTAGATAAAATCGTACGCCATAGTAATACTATAAACACGTTTTAAGGAGCATTATACGTAAAGAAATTATTAATATTGATATGGAAAGGTACAAAAAAGACCTTGAACATAATTATTATGAAGAATTTCTATAATCTCATGACGCTGTAAATTCCGAAATATATTATGCACGATTAGAAAAATTACGAAACACCATAACACTTGAAACAAAGTAAGTCACTCCAGTTGTATAGCAAGCACCATATTTCTCCACCTTCGTCAAACTACCATTTATTCGGAGCACTGCGACACTCATTATCAAGAAAAACATTTTGAAACACAGCAGTCATCTGCAAAGATGTTAACATATTTCTGTTAACAAAAAGCTTAGGAAATATTATAATTGATATAACTGACGTAACAAAGTTAGTTGAAAAATGGGAACAAGTTGTAAAACGAAATAGAGACTGACATCTTCATCGTAACAGAAGATACAAAGTGAAAACTATGAATGAAAATTCTACGTTTCCAAAGCGGCACGAATTTTCCAGACAACTTAATACAAAAGACATTGATATAAAATTAAATCAAAATGAATTTCATTAGAAGTATATTCTATGTATACATAAATCTATATATACATATATTACTTTTTTATACCTGTCTATTGATGCGAAGAGGCTGGTAGTATTCAGAAGCAACGATTGACATTTGCCAAGATTATGGATTTTCTGGAGAAATAAATTCTCAGATAGATACACTTAACCGCAACGTCAATCTGTTTTGAAAGACAAGGACGTTATTTCCTTCTCTAGGGAAAGACCTTCCGAAGATACCAAAGGGAGGGAAGACTAGAATCTTTTGAGACCCTATTACATAGTTTTATATATTTACTTATGGAATAGAAATCTGGAAATATAAAATATGCATCGTGACTGAAGCAATCAGAATCACTGAAGAAACAGAACTACACTGATCCACTCCATTAATTAAAAAAATTGAAAGAAATAATGATTTTATAAACATTCCTTTTTATGTTTTCAAAATATCCAAGACTTGTGACAATAAGTCGTTCGTTTCTAAAGAATGGAATAAAAATTCTATAGCAGCGCGTATGAAGAACGGAACTAAGAATTTATAGAAAGAAAAGTTGATTAATCTGTCTTCATCGAATTCTCAATTTTGATCAAATCTATTCGTAATTTAACCTTTTAAGAGTAGTCTGATCTGTTTAATCCAGTTTGAATTAAAACACAGATCTTTACTGCACAAATTGCAACCAGAACCAAGATACGAGAAACCCAACATCGTATCAATATCGTTTATTACTGTTACTTATTTAACAAGTAATTATAATCTGCAAAGTTATTTGTCAATTGCAGATGCTATAGATTAACGAGTTTGAAGGTGAAGAAAATAAATGTATCTTACTCCGTGAAGCCGTCAGCGAACGATATCAGAGTGAAAATGGAATTTCGTCGGGCATTTTTCCATTGGATTGCTGAGAAACATGAGTCCCTGTGAAGAACGTACAGAAGGCGGTGTACATTTGAAATTCGACCGTCTAGCAACAGCTTTTGCTAAAGTGACTCCGCCGAAAGAGGCGAGCAGCGTCAAATGTCATTCCCCCAAGGGTTATTTACGCCTCTAAACGATGTAAAACCACGAACGAGCAAGGACGTCGCCGCCAGTCGCTCGTGTTAATTTTGAATGTATCCTCATAACACGAACTGTGTGCCCTCTTTACTTCTTGCTACGTGCCCTCAATTAGTCTGAAAGCATGCATGTCGAATGTTCGCATGCAAAAATTGACACGACGTGTTAAACACACAAGATGTTCCACGAAATCTAATTTCTTATGAAAGAATAATGAGATGGAATCAGAAATTATTATTCAGGTAATATGTAATTTAGAGGATGTTTTAATGTTTTTAGTTTTTTATAAGTGTTAGTTACGTTCGTTAAGAATAGAATAAGGCGTAACATATGCATTTTGAGTAATTAAGTGTATTAAGTATATTATACAATTTACCTTGAATATACTATATAATTTGTATAAGTATAAGAAATACGCTTTAAATAATATACAAAATGTACAAGTTACGTGGATTGGTTTAAAATCATTTTTTCCATAATAAATGTCTGCAAAATTTATCCTATTGAATATTACAATGTATATTATTATTATGTTAGAATATATAATGAGATAATTATTATATCATCATACGAGAATGGGTTCAATATTATTTATATTATCTCATTAGTGTAATTAATTCGGCTTTGCTTCGCAAAAATTGATTATATGCGAAACAAACATTACACAAGTATCAATTTAACTAATAATCATTTTTGAACAATTGTATGCAATAAGAATATATATGTAATACAAAACAGGTCTAATAATAGTATGAAATAATTTTACTTCGATAAATAATTGTGCAAATAAAAAGAACTAAGAACTATTCTTTACCACTAGATCTTTTAACATGTAAACATTAATACAATTGCTATGAAATGTATTAACTATATTTAATTTCAAGCTGGTAAATAAATGAATATGTATATAACCAACGTTAATTTAAAAAAACAACTTTCAGACTTTGCATCAATCCTCTCCAACAGAGAACATATTAAAAAGAATATGTATCACGAACAGTATGAGCATCCTACAATCATAACATAAATGTTCTAAACTGTAAAGAAATGTCTATTCAATTTTCTAATTACGCATAAAATTCAGCTACAACATACATCTGTACTCTAAGAAAATATTTATAAATTTTATTTAACATACATAAGTACATATAATAATGTATCAGTTTGTAAATCAAGATTATAATTACTTTTATTTATTGCATATAAATGTCCAATATAATAAATGTTCAAATAGAAGGGCAAAGGGATTAAAATGTTGAATTTAGATTAGAAACTCCCTAATTCTAAGGGGTCAAAGAATATATGCCGTTATCGCTAAATCTATACGCATATGAAGTGGAAACAGAAGTACCATAAAATGGAGGGATCCAACCGAGGAAGTACCTTCGTATGTCAATTGGTTTGATAATTCAGGGACCAGAAACGAGGTACGATTCCCAGAAGAATTTTACTCACGTAACTGCGCCACCGATTTCTAACGATCTTTTTTCATCACAACCTTTAGCTAAATTTATTGTTGCCGCGTCATGGTCCATATAAATGCCTTGCAAAAGGGCTTGATTACAATTTATTACACGTCTGAACGTTTCGCTATTGCTACTTATCAATTACTCTCAATTGAAACGCAATTGACGCTGAAAACGAACGGTTTGCCTCGCAGAAACGATAACATTAATCATTCATCACGCCAGAAAATTAGTGTGTGGAAAACGAATGCCACGCTTGTTCAAATTTTTAGCACTAGAGCCGCGTACGAAACCGCTTTTAAGCAGCAAATTATTTTGCAAACGGTACGGAGAAATTTCTCAGCATTTATTTTGATAACGATATAATTTATATTGATTTTCGTAATGATCATAGATTAACGTTGATTATATCCTGATTACGTCGCGTATTAACACTCTATCATACTTCTCTATATTACAACAAATGGTATAATCAAAAATGATATAGGTATGTAATTCTGCTCACAAAAATAAATCGAAAATATAAAATCATATTTTTCAATACGATGCTTTATGTCAGAGAAAATAGAGCTTGAAAATTGTTTAGATAATACATAAGCATTTCAAGATGCATTTAAAATGAAAAATTAAAAATGTTAAAACATTAACCACTATAAACACCGTGTGAACTCGATAAACTTTCACATTGTTATTACCACAAAAAGATTGTAATGATAAATTAATTCTAAATTTTGTGTAATTTAATGTCTCGTTGAATTATATAAAATTGTAAAACACAATATAGGGATATATATATTTTCTTGCACCATATAAGAATAGTTAAATGATGTTTAATAATCTATTTGTATATATACTGAATTATTAATTACGAAATGTAGCTAACTTTGATTTATATAAACCTGATCATCGAGTGAAAATATTTCCAAACAAAAATGATTCGGTAATACGTGACTATGACACTCGAGCATAGAACGTTGGTCTACAAAATGGCGCCTACTGGAGTAATTTACAATATATATTTTAAATTACTCCAGTTGGTTGGGCGCCAGAAAGTTATTTCGGACCTTGCCTTACCGAAATATGTTTCTGGACTAAATTTTTCAACTTTTAAAAGTGGCGGACGCTTCTATCGCGAAACCTAACCTTGCCAATAACACACTATGGAGCTACATATGCTAGACGTGAAAAGCGGGAAAGTGAATGAGAGAGACCCCGATGAGCCTCCATAGAAGATAATGTAAAATGTAAGTATCCTACCTTGCCTTTATTCCCTGTTATCCTCCCGGCTGTTTAAAGATCCTCGCTGGACAGGCTCTCTGGCACAAAATCACATTCACCATAGCACACAGAGTCGATGCACGTAACTGTGAACATGGATTGTCTCGTCTACTCACTTTTTGCTCTCGGGCGAAATCTTGTACGGTGGATGAAGCCAATAAGCTGCGTTATATATTCGTACAACGAGAATTCGCACTTACACAGAAAAACGATGAGATTAATTCCCTTTGTCGCGAAATTCGAGTGTCGCGCACTCAACCGAAACAGAAATGAGTCACCCCGTCCCGCGCTGCGTCGTTCTGTAGACTGTGCGATCGATATCGACATTGTACGCTTTGTCGAAGGTGAAATCGATATCACGTGAAATGCGCATATTCCCGATGCGCACCTCGGCCGCACAACTGACTTTTGACTTCCTATAGTCGAACTCGACGACATTTATATGTGTGTTTGTTTACATATCTACCTCGGCACTCTCTTACTTTTATGTTTTAATATCACAACAAACAGTGGCAACGATTACACAAACTTGTACACATATAGTGAAAGGCAACAGAATGTTCATAAAATAAGAAATAGAAGAAGACATCATAATTTTACAGAATGCATTTATATCTAATAAAGGTAATGAACGAATATAATATATATACTGCATATGCATATACGACAAGCGACTGTTAGCAATATGGCGAAAAATGTTTATTATAAAAGTTACTAAAATTCATAACGAATCAATTTTAGATTTCCTTTTATCCGCTACTGTATATTTTAATGATTTACAAGATTTTAATTTCATTGAAGAGTAAAACGTTTTTATATTTTTACAAATATTTTTTTACTAATTACGCGATAATTTTTGTGCTATTTCTAAAGGGTTTGGTGAATGTAAAAAGTTAATTGTGTAAGCGTAGATAGTAGTTTAAAAAGCCTCGTTTTAAGTAAATTCGACGGTCGTCTTGAATTCTCGAGTCTCATTAGGCGGCCGTTTTTCTTTACAATGGAAAATCGGCGAGACTTACAAGCAAGTTACGAAGCCCAAGAGCCTCAGTCGGCGACTGTTCCGCAAACTTCATTTCGTGTCGCGTGGGAAAAAGTATGTGAGATCGTAGAATGCGAGTCACGATATTCCCTCAGGATTCAACGACAGTTTCGTCTGGAGTATCTACGGTCGGCGACGAACGAAAAAGAGATCGGAACTTCCCTTTTTTCCTTATTGTCTCGTGGATGCGAGAACTTACAAAACGCTAACTGAAAGAGTTTCTGACGATGACTTGAAACGCTTATCGCTTGTTATTTTCAAGTATACAACGATTCATCCAATCTGTGTAAACACGATTTATTACACATTTAATTAAAAAGAACAAATTTATTATAGTTATGATATCAATTTATTATTTATTTATCAATTATTTATCAATTCTATATTTGTACGGATAAAATTTTATTGTAGAAGGATATATTTGTAATTTTCTTACAAACTAATGAGAAATTTAAATTTTCTTTAGTTTTAAACAATTGTAAAAGTAGAAAAGTAAATACCTAATCGTTCTTCTGGTCCTTCTATTTTCCTTCTATTTTCACATGATGTTAGTTTGAGGTAGAGTTAGCCAATTATTACAAGACCATAGTGTAGCGTTCACTACATCACTATTTCACTAGAATCAAATTGATCTGACTGCGTGACGTTTAAAACCCTACATTAAATTTAGCATCATAATAATGCGACTTCCAATTTTCAGAATGAAAAAATAATAAGATTTCATATATATATTTTCAATTTGTTATACGAAATAAATGTTAATAATTGGATATTTAAAATTTGAAATTTAGAGTATTTATATTTAAATATTTAAATATTTAAAAGCTATAATTAATTTTCACATAATGTAATATTTACACATAGGTATTTCTAATGTGTTATTCTATTAGTATCCTACTCAATATAAAATCCTTGCAATCTGTCCAATTCGGTGAAAATTTATTATGCATATTATTTATCGTCAATCATACCTCCGTTGATCAATTTTATCCTCTTGACGGATCATCCGTTTACGTTTACTTAAATCATCACGTAATTCCTCGTAATGTGTACATAAGACGGCGCCTTTTTTCGTATATAGGTATATCAGTCTGTGCACACGTTTTCGCGTGCAACCTGAACATTTTCCGTGAAAACGGAAAATCCGCGTAGTTCCGTGGAACTACGAGGGAAGCCCTAAGAGCCTCGAAGTCTGAGGAACCGTTCCGCAAACTTCGTTTCGCCTCACGGGGGTAGGGAATGCCGCGAAAAGTGTGCAAGATCGGCGAATCCGAGTCACGATATTCTCAGGGGAAGTCGCGGCGGGGTCTCGATTATGTACGTCTGTGCCATCACGATGAAGAAAATGAGATTTCACTTGATTCCTTTTTCATTGAAATTCTGGCCAGATGCACGCCCATTCTGATTCATAATCTCATAGTCATTACATCTTATTATCGTGCGTCATTACGTTTTGGTTTACTCGTTAACAATATATAGATCATTTTATATTTTTTCTGTACATTGTTTTTAGGACTCTCTCTCTCTCCCTGGAAAAATTAATTAATGTTAATGTTAATTAATTATGTTAAGGTTAATTGATTAAATGAATATTTATTAAAATATGAAATTTTGATATGCGAAGACATTAAGACACATAAGTCGTGTTTTTTATTGTACTGTCAAAGGAGTGTCAAAGAATATATTTCACGTAATCTTTTCTCCTATCAGAGATCTCCTAAGTATACCATTTTCTAAACGTTGTGTACCATTTGCCTTATTAATTATCGTAAGTTTATTGCATTAACTTAAAAAAAATTTGATACTGTTTTACCACGTTTAAAATAAGTCTTGCAATTACTCTCCGCTTATGTTGCTTCATTTTTCACGGAAAACGAGGTAAAAAATCTGCGAGAACGAAAACATGCAGTACCTACATGCCACAACGAAACAAAGCAGGAAATGTACGGAGAGTTACTGCTTGTAAGATGTCAAGACAATTGTTTGCCATGTTACCAACAACCACAAATCCTGATGATCATTAATATGTTATACGTAAAAAAGAAAGAGATCATTCCAGAAATTTTCCAGAAAACTCTGCACAAAACCACGATTAAGAACTCTGTTATGAAGGTTTTACGGATTAAAAGAATAACATTGTCGTGACACGTTCGAAGTTAAGGAGAAGAAAGTATAATGTGAGGCAAAAGTGCACAGTCGACATACCACAGAGAGAGAGAGAGAGAGGGGGGGGGGGAGAGAGCCTATTCATCTTCGCCGGCTGTTTTGTGATCCATATAAAGATAAGAGGATTCGCTGGAAGATTGTTCGTGAAAATAAATGCATCCGCGTAGAACGTCGTTGCGTTTTAATTACCTTGCTTTTTTCGTCTGGTGATAAATGTACGAAACGTTCCTTTTGAAATAATTTTAACGAGGAAACTTCGCCACTACTTCTGCTCGTACGCCTAACATAAACAATTAATGTCTGTGTACGCATATTTTGCTTGGAACCTTCCCCACTCTCTTTACACGAGAACGCACTAAAACGCCATCCATGAAAGCTTCCATTTAATTTCGCTAGTGTAGAAGTTAATTCCTGGCTGGGTCTGTTATTGTATCGCTCGTTATTTCGATTTCTTCTCTAAATATTTCATGTGTTCGCGTATGGTCTCTCTAAGTTTTCGCTGAAAGTTCTAAAATAATCGAAAAATGGAATGTGAGCGATGGAAATATTAATTATGAAGAGAATATAAATTAATTGCATAATTATAAATAGAGCATTAGTTTAGAAGTGGAAAAAAGTAAATTATTCTGTTTACAAGGCGAATTTTTCTTTAAGACGAAAAATATATTGAATTAATTAATTTAGGAGAATTTGAGAATTGTAAGCATTTAGCATTCCAATTTAGCTAATAATAAGTGAAATTTTAGATTTTTTATCCCAATAACACGCTAGGAGCCATGCAAATCTATTCTGCCTGATTTGATATTTAAATCAGGGCCCTCTTGCACAGTAAGTTACCAACTAAAAGAATATTAATGAATTAAAAAGTTATGGATTATAAACTTTATTTGATGCCAAATAGTATATTGATTTCTAATTTATAAAATGTAATTAGTTTTATTATCTTATTAGTTTATTGTTGTTATAATGAGAATTAATTAATATTGATAAATTATAAACTGGACACCAGACATATGCAATAGACTTACAAGTGCATTAGTCTAAGTTTGGCAAAGAGCCATAACTTTACTAACTTACTTAACCGCAGTCTACATCAATTATCACCTAAGGTAGCCATCATCTACTTAACATTAACAATTTATATTCGACAACAACACTGGAAGTAACATAATGAAAGGTGTATAAGGATAAAGCAACTGCTTATTACAGCATTGTTTTAAGAGTATCTTCAACACTGTGCAAGTTAGTTTACTTAAATCTGATTAGCCTAAAGTATAAGGAAACTGAGATTTCACGATAATGACAGGAGCCCCTTGTGGCAAATCTGTAGAACAAAGAGACACTTGTTGACTAATGAAGAACACCGTGTTGGCTAGTAGAAGAACACTTTTAGTTTCAGACTCCATCTCCTGGTGAACTTTGAGTGATGCAACAGTTGTATTGTTTTATACCTTTCGGACTTTAGCGAGAAGAATTCCCTGAAAGTGTCTCTACTTAAATACTTGCCCTTAAGATTCTATTCACGTTTAACAAATCGGTGAGAGTTTCATTAGAAAAGACCGTGATCTACAATTCTTATAGAATTCGAAATATTATCTTGGAGTATACATATTAAATTTCAGTAAGAACAATTACTGTTTTATAAAATATAAGCAATATACATTAACTTTGTTACATTAATTGCAGTATAATGTAATATTCGAATAATTAATCTTGTTAATAAACCAATTATTATTCCTAAGCATATAGCAAGATAATAAATTTGTCGATCGATCTTTGATAAGTTGTAAAAAAAATGTTGCCTACTTGTTTATAATACACTCTTGTTACTATTTTATCTGTGAGGGAAATTTAGCATAGATTCGCGCGGTCTACAGAGTGGAGAATTAAATTTCTCTGGAGTGGTCAGAGCAGGATAAAGTTCGACTTTGAACCGAGTTTGTGTCGCTGTCGGGCAGAAAATTGGACGATAACGGAGAGGGAGAGGGTGAATTTCTGTATGGTTAACAATACAGTATGGAAAGTTGGAGCTCGGCAATGTTTCATCTCTTTTGAAATACCGGTAATTGAAAGTCAATTCCTACGTTAACGAGTAGGTTGTGCGCGTGGTTTTCATGCCGCCGGCCTGTGTGCGAACTGTTTTCACCGTCGAAAAGAGCACACGGTTTTTTTCCACCGTGTGCC